GCCCCGCTGGTCCCTCCGTGTGGCTCTTCTCGATCCGGGGTGGCACGACTCCCTTGGTGTGGCTCTTTATTATCTTTCCTTTATTTTCTACATTTAATTCTATTCCCACCTCGCCCTGCCCTCGGTGCAGCCCTTTGATGGCTCCCGACAGCGGGTCCCTCGGGGCAGCTCTTTCGGTGACTCGGGGTGGCTCCTTTAGTGTATTTAATTCTCTCCTCTCGATTTGATTCCATTCCCACCTCCCTGGCCACACCCCGGGCAACCATTCCACGGCTGCCGCTCCTCGCTCATCCCTCGGGGCAGCTAACCCTAATGGGAGTGACTGGGACCACACTGGGAGCGACTGGGACTGTGTGAAGGGGAATTAGGACCAGGCTGGGGGCAACTGGGAGGAACTGTGAGTGACTGGATCTACAAGAGAAGTAACTGGGATTGACTGGGACTGTCAGGAGGGAAGAGCAGGATCCTACCTGGAGCGACTGGATCTGTGCTGGGGCAACTGGGAACAACTGGGACCATGCTGGGGGCAACTGGGATCATACTGGGATCACAGTGGGAGAAGCTTGGCCCATGCTGGGAGCAACTGAGACCACAGTGAGGGTGACTGGGATCATACTGGGAGTGAGTGGGAGCATGCTGGGGGCAACTGGGACCATGTTGGAGCAACTGGGATATACTGGGAACAAGTAGGATCATGCTGGAGGTGATTGGGATCATACTGGGAGCAACTGGGAGTGCACTGGGGGTGACTGGAAGTGGCTGTGAGCAACTGGGATCATGCTGGAAGCTACTGGGGGCAACTGGAAATGAGTGGGACCACACTGGAGGAAACTGGGAGCAACTGGGAGAGACCAGGAGTGACTGGAATCATACTGGGAATGAGTGGGAGCATGCTGAGGGTGACTGGGATATACTGGGAGAGACTGGGAGTGACAGGAATCATCCTGGGAGTGACAGGAACCATCCTGGGAGTGACAGGAACCATCCTGGGTGACTGGGAGGAACTGGGACTGTGCTGGGGGTAAATGGCATCTTAATGAGTGAGGAAGGGTCCAGTATGAAACCGCTCACTGGGAATGAGGGGGTTCATACTGGAGTGACTGGGACTGTATAAGGAGTGTCTGGGCTCATGCTGGAATCCTAATGGAATGCACTGGGAGCGACTGGAGCCATACTGGGGGTGACTGGGAGAAAGTGGGACCCTAGTGGAAGTGACTGAATTCCTACTGGGAGTGACTGGGATGGTAATGGGAGTGACTGGGATATACTGGGATCACACTGCTGGTGACTGGAACCATACTAGGAGTGGCTGGAACTCTACTGTGGTGACTGGGAGTGACTGGGACCATGCAGGGTGTGAGAAACAGTCTCTAAATATTCCCCAATTTGTGAGAAACAGTCTCAGGATATAATCAGTTCTCAAATTGGAATTTATTATATGATAA